TACTGCTTATCATCCTCAGACAGATGGGCAAATAGAAAGACTTAATCAGATACTAGAAGATATGTTGAGAGCTTGTGCTTTGCAGTATGGTACTAGTTGGGATAAAAGTTTACCATATGCAGAATTCTCCTACAATAATAGCTACCAGAATAGTCTGAAGATGGCACCGTTTGAAGCTTTGTATGGTCGTAAGTGTAGAACACCGTTGTTTTGGAATCAAACAGGAGAAAGTCAAGTCTTTGGACCAGATGTGCTTAGAAATGCTGAAGACCAAGTCAGAATGATTAGAGAGAACCTTAGAGTGGCACAAACTCGACAGAAGAGCTATGCAGATAATCGAAGAAGAGACTTGGTATTTGAAGAAGGAGATTATGTCTATTTAAAAGTATCACCTACGAGAAGTGTAAAAAGGTTCAACATGAAAGGAAAGTTAGCACCAAGGTATGTTGGTCCTTTCAAAATTCTAAAGAGACGTGGAGAAGTGGCTTATCAGTTGGAATTGCCTAATAGTTTATCAGGAGTGCATGATGTGTTCCATGTGTCCCAGCTTAAGAAGTGCTTGCGTGTACCGGAAGAACAAATACCACTAGAGGAACTCGCTATGAAAGATGATCTTACTTATGAAGAGTTTTCGATAAAGATTTTAGAGACAGCGGAAAGGGTTACAAGGAGCAGAATTATTAAGATGTGTAAGGTTCAGTGGAATCGGTACTCGAAAGCAGAGGCAACTTGGGAAAGAGAGGATGAATTGAGAAAAACACACCCGCAGTTGTTTGAGTAAGCACAACCTCATCTCGAGGACGAGATTCTCTTAAGGGGGGTAGAATTGTAACACCCTAAAATTTTGGATAGATTTAAATTGGTTAAATTGATTTACTTTTACTTGTGTGAGCATTTAAACATAGGCTAACTAATAAATTTATAAGAATAAAATCAACATCAAAGTTAGAATACCTGCTTGAGCATTCATGCTGGTGCATATTTTGTGCTGAATCGATTTGGTTGTGTTTGATTTCAAAAGGGGATTCAAATTCATTTGAAAAAGGATTCGAAAGCTTCGAAAATAAAAAGAAAAGGGGAACTTTCTCTCTGCCTGGCTTCTAGCCCATTCGGCCTGCCCTATGGCCCAGCGCGCTGCAGCAGGCAGCCGGCCTCCTTCCTCCTCCTTCTTGGGCCACAGGCCAGCCCGGCCCGCGAGCGCCAGCAGCAGCAGCCGCCTCCTTCCTCTGTGTGCCGCCGACAGCTGGGGCCCACACCTCATCTTCCTCCTCCGGCTCGGTGTCGAACTCGAGTCCGACCGAACCACGCGGTCCACGCGCCTGGGCGTCCGCACCACGTCCTGCCCCTATAAAGGCCGAATCACCGCGCCCCTAATCTGTTTTCCCGAGCCCTAGCGCATGCGCCGCCCTTGCCCGAGCTCTCCTCGCGAGCCAAAACCCTAGGCCGCCGCGCCGTCTAATTCCACCGCTACGGTCCTTCATCATCTTGGAGCTCCGTCGCTGCTGCGTTGAGCCGCACGCCATCGGTGACTGCCATCCGCCTCCGTCACCTAGCTAGGTGAGTCCGCTTCGAGCTCCTCGTTTGAATGGACCCGGTCCCGTGCCAAATGGTGGCCAGAATCGCCCGAACCGGCAGCACCGGCAAGTGCCTCGTCGCCGACCATGTCGCGCCGTCGCGCTGGCCTTCTTCTCCGGTCGGCAGCGCCGCCCCTCCCTCCCGATCTAATCCGGTCCGTTCGGATTGGATCCAACGGTCCGAATCGCACCGTACCCCTTTTCGGTTGGCCTTTTGGCTAAAGAGCCCCTGGGTTCTTTAGATGTTGAACCCGCAGTCCAAAGCGGATTCCGTAGAATATGCTTTCTCTTTTGGAAAACGTATTTTTCATTTAACAGATTCAAAATCAAGTTCCATCTAATTACAGTTTTGCCACTACCTTTAATTGCTCATAACTTATTCGTTTTAACTCCAAATTGGACCGTTCAACTTGCATTAGATTCGTCTTTTCGAGATCTATCTGTTCATATAGTTTTTCACCATGTTTTTGAACTGTAAATTCCGAGTTTATATTTAATCTATTTCTTTCATAGGGAAACTTGTTTTAATCCTAACTTTCTCGTTGTAACTCCGTTGTTCGTGATCTTCGCGTCTGTGTGGTCGTAGCGACGTATAGAATAGTTTTATGAACTTTTCAAAACTGTTTTTCTCTGTTGGTGTACTGTTCTAATTAAATTTATTTGCTTGCCCCGTGTATGATTGCTCGGATGATTGTATGTTGCTGCTTGGTGACGTTGATCGAGTTCAGACGGTGAGGTTTACGTTGGTGATCAAGAGAACTTCTACGACCAGCAAGACCAGCAAGACTTTCAGGAGAACTTTGATCAAGGCAAGTATAGCTAAGGACCTTCCTTGTTGTCCTATTCATGAGATACACTAAAATTCATTTGCATGTGTCCACTTTGTTATCCTATGTAGGAAATTCTAGAATTTGATCTTGAATACCTTGAAACCTGGATATATGCATTTGGGTAGTGTTATGCTAGCGCTAAACAATAACCATGATCTTGATACTTGACTGATAATTGAGCTTTAAACAATTTAAGATGACTTGTAGCAATAACAGGAGGGTTTAATTCCCTCTCCTCAAGGACTTGTTTGTAAGTGATCATCCGGGACTTATAGTACAGCTGTGAGGGCTACATGGCTCTGGCTTTAGTTGCTTGGGAGACCTTTCCTAGCTGGCTTAGAGGATACTGCGAGTTGGGTATAGGACAGCCTCTGTCCTGTTGTGCCTTGCTATGGAAGCGGCCTTTTATCGGAAGGGGGGTTCCTATATCCGATGACCCTGCGGCCCTTCCCGGTTAGACGAACTTCTAAGTAGCTTTATATGGTGTTCGGTGTTTGGACGTAATTAACCCATGCATTTGAACAACATGACTCACAGTGAAAGTGTACACCTCTGCGCAGAGTTAACAAACTGGTATACTAGCCGTGCTCACGGTCACGAGCGGCCAAGGGATTCTTACACCATAAATGAGCTCTTGTTTAATTGTGCTTAACTAAGTTGTCTTTGAGCTATTTATTATTCATGTATAATGATCATGTGTTATGGGAATTATGGTACTACCTTGATGCTAATAAATGCTAAACTTGATCATACACATAAAAGCTACTTGCAGTTCCACCAGTGTCAGCTATTTGAGCCTCATGAACCCTTAGTTATCTTGTTAAGTACGACATGTACTTATGCCTTGCTTTATCTTTTATATTGGAAAAATCCCGGATGGGTAACAGATCAAGATTGGATTGAAGATTATCGTGATGAGTATTAGGCTTGGTGTTCACCAGTTGACGTCCCTGCTGGAGCTTCCGCCAGAGAGTTATCCTAGTAGTTATTATACTTATGTTTGAGACTATGTATTGAATATTTATTCGCTATGTAATAAACATTGTGTTGGTACAATTCACAATTTGTCCACTTATGTGTGCGACCGTTCCTAGGGTGCACATAAGACTTTTATACATCCTCTTTTGTTCTTAAAATTGGGTGTGACAAAAGTAAACTAATCTAGTGCTGATTAGTACGGGGAAGAGACATACCTAATCTGATGCTTGAGCCAATAAAGTGAACATTTTTGTTTTTCGTTTTCATGAATACTTCCCTGTTTATCTCAGTTTTGAAGATATCCAAAGCATACGACGTCTCCACGTCAGTAAGTCCAACCATTGAGTCCACTTCATCAAGACACTTCTGGACTCCAGTTTCTTCGTCTTGCCTCTTCTTTTCATTGAGAGTTTCCATGGTTTTGCTTGTTTAAATCTTCGACTCCACATAATTAACCCTCAATAGCAGAACAAATATGACTTTGCTTATGCTTTTTCCCACCACTTGCTCCTTGCACAGAATCTTGATTGGGCGGTGCGGACTGAGCTTCATTATTGACTTTTTTATGTGCACTTGAGACGTCTAGAGCATCAAAACTAGCAAATGGGTTTGTACCAAATTCAGAGGCACTTCTATCAGTGACTGGAGCAGTAGGAGCAAGTGGAGCAGCATGAGGAGCAACTGGAGGCGAGGTTCTAACTTCTAAGTGCTCGGTTGATGTGAAGTTTAAATCTCTTGTAGCAAAAACAGAGATGCTACCAGATCAAACAAGAAACGATGTGAGAAGAGAAGAGAGGGAGAAACCTTTAGCTAGAGCAGCGGGCAGAGGTGGTGTCGTGTCACCGGCAAGGTCGGTGTTGCTCACAGGCAGCCAAGGGGTAGCGGTAGCAGCGTCCAAGCTCACGTATCAGCACCTACAACTCTACAAGGAATAATGGAGATGCGGGCAACGCCAGTACTTTCACTGCTGGTTACGTGACAACTGGCGGTGATACTTATCACTGTGGGCCGGTTCATATCCTGAGGGAAGGGGGACTCACCGGCGGTGATAGACGTTTTCACCACCGGCCCAGCGTATGGTCCGGCGGTGAACACAGTGCTAGTCTTCACCGCCGTATTGTACGCCAAACCGGCATGTAAACATTTAGCATCGCCGGTTAAGCATCCATGCTTGGGCCTGTACGTACATACTTGGGCCGCACGGTGTAAACTTTTCAGAGCTAACCGATTGCACCCCTTGCTAAAGCCTTTACGTACATGCGGGCCTGTAATTTGCTTCTATCAAAATCTATATTGTTGGTGCAGTTCGTCAGGCCCAGACATAGTAATTTCAGAATAAACAGGGACATTCACATTCTTTACTGCATTTTGGTGGTGCCAAACTTGCCTAATGACTAATGAGGCCGCACACTACAGCTCCACTAACTTTGTATTCTTCTGAAACTTGAAGGCATCGTGACTGGATTTCTAGCACACCACAAAAGAAACTCTCGGACCGTTCTATTGCCACAAGATCTTGCATGCTATTGTTGATAGAGGCTAAGGTGGCTAAAGTGGGGGCATGCAAGAGCCTTAGTGATAGGAGGATCATCATAAGAACTTGGCATGGTCCCTTTAGTTAGATGTGAACGTCTAGCCTCTTTGCAACCAATCGAATACCAGCATTTTGCTGGTAGTCATATATTTCCAGTGAGAAGAACGCATCCACCTTGTTCCCTTGAAGCATAGATTCCAGTTCCGCTGCATCTACCTTTCTGGAAGCAAGCTTTGGAATGACACCATTGCACTCTTTTTGGTATATTTGTGTCGAGTACATTGCAGTGTTGCCACCGACAATGGTAGCGATGCTGCAATAAAAGGTCAGCATTAGTACAGAGTACTCAATAAGCAGGGCCATCATCTCAAGATTAGAATGGAAAGATATAGGTTACAAGTTTACAACTCACTTCAGCCGGACTGTTGGACGATTCGCGTTTCCATATCTCTTAATTAGGGGTTTCCATGGAGAATTACTGCGGCCTTCCGGAGATGAACTTTGTGCTAGATTGTCGCAAAACACTAATACCTTACTGAGATTATCAGGTATGTCAACCATTATGCTCAGCTTTGGTAGAAATTTCGTACTGACCCAACGGACTTCCAAATCTGGACAACTGAGCTGAAATTGGGCACCCTTATGCTGGAAAATTGTTCTCGGTCCACATCGGTGTAATAGCATAACTGAGATTTTTATACTCTCAGTTGAAACGTCATCTAGCTCAACAAACCCAGAAAAAACTCCTGAACTTCTTGCATCCATCTGCGTAGTGGTGTCTAACATCATTTCCTCAACATGGGATGCCACCAACTCGTTGGAATCCCTGTTTGTTGCAGGATCACTCGTTGCTTGGGTTCTGATTGTTGCACCCTCCAACATGTTCTGAACAGGAAGCACCCCTCGAAGACTTTCCTCCTGTGAGAAGAATTTTTGGGGATTTAACGCAAAAAATTACTTTGAATAATATTAAAACAAAAAAAATGAATGCTACAAACATAACATTATGACCATTATTCAGCAGTTTTAATAATAAAATAATTTGCCAAAGTTCAGCAGTTTTAATAATAAAACTTCCAGCAATAGCAATTCATGTAATCCATAGATATTAAACAAACAGCTTCTAGATTATTGATACACTACACATGATGCCTATACCGCCGGTAGCTAAACTTCACTTGTCCACTGAGATGATAAGGTGAGTTGCTATTGTGTGATGATGAGTGGTTGTCAAGCAATGTGAAGTCCTTTTAGTTGAGTTTGTTCTTACTTATGACTAACATGAGGCAAAGTGATAGCGGTGCAACATGTCTCTTAGTTGTGTATGTGTAGTTTTTTGAGAAGACTTGGCGAGGGAGAAGGTCAAGTGGAGGTTTGTGCTGATATACCATGGTTGGTGAAGGGTAGACAAAAAGGCTTGGACCTAGGGACCATGTCCGAGAGGACCTTGTGTGATCGACACCAAGCCCATTTTAAATTCGTGCTCCATATCTCTCCATTTTAAATCCAAGATCTTTCTTTTTGGGGAATTTTTTACCCCTTTTTATGGATCTTTTATCTGCTGCTTCGGCTGAGATTGTGCCACGATTTTGGAGTGTTTTGATCCTCGAAACTTGTTTGTATTATGGCTTGAAGCCCAGCTTTTATCTCGCAAGCTCCTTCCTCCAAAATTCCTCTTTTCTCGCCTCTTTTGGTGGATTGCTTGAAGTTTTTTTAGCTAGGGTTCTTGAGGTGTTCTTGGTTGGTCTCTAGGTACGTGCTATGAAATCGTGGAAACATACCTAGACTTTACCTTCAACAGATTTCTCTCTAGCACCTTGAAATCATGCTTTTGAATCTTATTGTCAAAACCCTAACTGAAGCCTAGATCATTTTTGGCAAGATACCATGGGTATATCTTTTACCCTGTGGTAGGTTAGATTTTTGCAAACTTTCACAATTTTTACATGTCGTTTGATCGAGTTTTGCTTTTTTTCTCAAAAAATAAAATTTTGAGCTCAAAGTTGGGAAAGAGGCTTAGCCAGGTTTAAAGCAGTCTTAACCAAGCCTGAAAGTAGGCTACGCCTGATTTCCTGACTTGGTTGGGGTGATACAGACACTGATTTGGCTGGTTTTTCTAAAACTTTGGCAGTTTGTGCTATTCTTTGTTCGTTTAGCTTCTGCATCTTTCTACTCTTGTTTCTAAGATTAGTAGGTAGTTTGTGACAACTATGTGATTGTAGCGAGAGCTAAATGAGAGGCTTAGGTTAACTATTTAGCCTATATATCACTCATTGAGAAAAAAATTCTCGTTGAACCCCTCTGGTTGCCTATTTGATCCTTCATCCACCGAATTGCTCAGATGAACCAATTATATTCACGGGGAAACTGAAGGTGTGAAAATACCAGGAACAAGACTGTAGCACAGTTCTTGAGCACGTCAATATTCATTTTCACATCATCAAGGCTCCTGAAGATGAGTTGGAAACCAAATTAGAGGAAGATCATGCATTCCTGCTTCGTGCTAACAAACAAAAGTACAGGTATCAAGTCAACAGAGAGTACACCTCTTACCTGTGCCTTTGCTTCCCTAGACCAAAATAATCTGCCAAGCTTGCCAGCTGCAGTTAAAAGTTTAAAACAGAGAGGGAAATGGGAATGACAAGCATCAGATATATACACTGTCGCGTTTTAAAACAAGGACCCTGTTTCATCTTTACCCAAATCTTACTGTTCAAACTTAGAATTGGTAATGACGATCCACGTGTCAGCACGTAGGAAAGCAGATTGTATACCTTCATGTCCCCGGCTCTCGGGCCAAACCACTGGGTAAGCAGGGGAAGGGTGTCGACCATGCCCTTGGCTTCAGGAGGGGGTCGCCCGATCTCAGCGAACGCGTCCCTTATTATCACTGAATCAAAATTCACGATGTTGTGCCCAGCCCACACCCTCCCTGTTCAAGATTAATTGGCATCCTTAATTAGCTTGCGCACGAGACGAGACGATGTGATCGAGCTAGTGGGGCCCGGGCACTAATTAACTACTCACCGTGCAGGACGTCGTAGACTTTATCGGCGACGTCCCGGAACGGCGGCGCGTCCGCGACGGTGTCGCGCGTGATGCCGCTGCACCGCGCGGTCGGGTCCGGGACGGCGTCCAGGTCGGCGGGGCGCACGAGCGTGGCGTAGGAGGAGACGTCGACGAGCCGGCGCGAGCAGACGACTACGGCGCCGAACTCGAGTAGTAGCACGCGCGGCGGGGTCGACGTCTCCACGTCCAAGAAGACGATCTCCTCCCTGTCCGCCGCCGCGGAAACGGCAGAGGACGCCGGCGCCGGCGCCGCCATTAGTATTGCCGATCGAGTGTCGTGTACTCGTACCTCAGGGCTCGGGCTGGACGAGCAGCAGTGTCACTGGAGGCGTACGTGACGACAGCTAGCAACGACGATCGACGAGTAGTGGAAGAGTAGCTGAGTAGGAGATGTGTCACTCACTGCAAGGTACTCGTAAAACGGCACGCTTTATAGTGTGTTAGGAATCAGCAAATTAAAGTGGCTCACTGTGTGTGGGCTGAGCCCGTGTGCGTGTCCGACCTAATGCTATCCGCACTCGTCCACCTCTATTTTCATCTCTAAAAAGAATATTCTATCCTAGTCATCGAGATTCTCTATTTTATATCTATTTCTCCCGCATCCATGTTATCTCTATCCCATACTCTATACCCATTATTCCATATTTTATTCCACTCTTTCCCTCTTTCCCTCTCAGCAACTCTTTCTCTCTCCGCGCTACAGTACTGCTACAGTGTTTAGCGTTTTCTCTCGCGTGCGCAGTCTGTGGCGTTTTTCTGTGCAGCCGGTACGCTCCCAGGCCATTTACAGGCGCGCGGTGCGGACGCACGGTACGCTACCGCTGGCGTACCGTCGCCTTTACCGCTGCGCGGTGCGGACAGCCTAAGTAACTGTAACTGTAATGAGACGGTCAGCTATAGTAACTGTAGCCAAAGGAAGGCAAGGAAATGCCGAATCTCCCAACTGCTCTTCTTCCTTCCCCACCCCCAGCTATCGTCTGTGTTCTACCCTAATTTCCCTTCCCTGCTGCCCGTTTCTTATCCCAGAGATCCATACACGTAACGTAGTGTTGGAAATGATAACTTACGGTTTAAGCAAGCTGGTACTAGGTATCTTGCTTTTAGAAAACAAAAACAAAAGTCACATTAGGTATGCTGACTCACAAAGCAACTAAAGCATGCATCTTTGCTTCAGAGAGAAAATTAAAGTTCACACTGTCACAAAGTAAGCGATGGATTATTTTTCGCACCCATAAAGCGTCCAAAACTCTAACAGGCTCCTCATCAAGCTAGGCTCCATATTTTCCCTTTTCACGACTATATGAAGGCTTCCATTTGACACAATATGTGAAATTATGAATAAAGCAAAGAGTAAAAAGCAAAGCGTCTCAAAATCAAGGTAATGGTGGTGAACAGAAGCTGAACTATCAAATTGGGAAGTTTCGTATAACATATATGGGCATCCCTATTTCTGAGAGTCATGAGGAAATAAAGGGTTTTAGTAAAATGGAAGATAAAATGAGGAAAAGGTTACATCCTTAGAAAGGGAAGAATATGACATTAGGGAGGAGACTAATTTTGACTAACTCATCTTTGAGTAGCTTACCTATATACACAATGGGGATGTATAGGTTAAAAGAGGGGATACACCATTTCCTCAAAAAAAAAAAGAGGGGATACACCAACAAATGGATTCAATAAAATCCAATGTTTTTTGGCAAGGGGCAAATGACAAATCAAAATATCACATGGTAAAAAGGGAACAACTGTGTATTCCAAAAGACTTTCGAGGCTTAGGTATTATGAATACAAGAATAATGAGTGAGGCCTTAGTAGGTAAATGGGTCTAGAGAATGTTGAAAGCAGACAAAGAGGATATTTGTTATAACATGCTAAAGAGGAAATAGCTTAGAAATAAATCCTTTGTACAATCTGAAGAGGGTAATGGATCACAATTCTGGAAAGGGGTGATACAAACAAAAAAAACTCTGTAAAATGGGATTTAATTTCTAAGGTCAATAATGGTAATAATACTTTGTTTTGTGAGGATATTTGGGCCGGTAATATACCTTTGAAATTGGAATTCCCTAGCTTGTTCTTCATATGTGAAGACAGCAAATGCTTAGTAGCATACTGTTGTGCCGGGGATGGATGGAATGTGAGATTTACAAGATCTTTGGGGCCGAGGTGATGGGTGAATGGGAAAGGCTTATAGAGGTTTTAGACTCCTTCCAGATCCAGGCTAAGGAGTTGGAAGATGAATATACCTGGCTTGTTGAAGAATCTAGGAAGTATTCAACCCGGTTGATGTATAGGAATTTAATGTTCAGGGGCATAATAACTAACAAAAGGATGACAAATTTGTGGAAGAATAAAGCCCCAATGAAAATCAGAATCTTTATGTGGTTAGCTATCCAAGATAAATTACAAACGGGGGTAAATTTGAAGAAAAAGAAATGGAAGGGGAATAGGAATACGAATTGCTGTCTGCAGGGTCCCTGAAACCACAGGACCATATTTTCTTTAACTGCAGGGTGGCTAGAATCATTTGGACATGCTTTAAAGAGCCTTTAGGATCGATCGGATAAAATACCTAAGAACATTATTCAAGAGGTCTTTCATCTTTGGCTTCCTTTAAAAGCTCAATATTACTATGTTTTCTGTCATTATGTGGGGTTTGTGGACAATTCGTAACAAAATGTGTATTGAAAAAAGATTGTTAGGTCATTTAATGAGGCTTTCTTCAAAATCTTCTCGTTGCTGCAGAAGTGGCGTATGCTGCTGAAGGTGGAAGATGCCAAATACATGGATAGCAAGATCGGAATCGTCAAGACTTGGTTGCTGGAATTCTGGGAGCAAACTGATGACATGGAGATCGAAGGAGTGATGATCTGAGAGCTTTTGTTTTTCCTTTAGCCTTTGTTGTCGGTGACGGTAGCTTGAAGTGTTAGGCGTCTTCAGTTTTCTTTTGTGTTTGGTTTGCAAGCTGGCGTAGTATCCCCAGCATTGCTACATTGGTTTGTACGTTACTTGTTTTCTATAAAAGTAGGAATTTCCTCCATAAAAAAATGGCAAAGGAACAATCAGCGAACCGGATATGGTTTAGTTTCTAGAGGCATGTTGCGGCATCCACTGAAACTGAACCCAGATAAAGCAATTTGCTGGTAATATCTTTTTTTTAAAAAAAAATCCTTACCGGAATCCGTAGTGATTCATGCCATGGATTAAGCTGCACTGCACACAGCATAACACACAACCGAAGATGGTCGCTTTAGGCGAATCACAACATTTCAGTCGTTACATGTGTATTGATATCATAATTTCATCAGCAATATAATCCAAAAGGTCGGCCTCAACCATGGTTTGGTCAGTGCTATAGTACCATCTTAAGGGCATGTACAACCCACAGATAGGGGTCATCTGCAAAAGCATCGAATCTGACATATAGATAGCTAAAAAGACCGATAGAACAATGGACTGTCTATTTCGCTGTCTGTAAGCTATTTAATGCTTTGTATGTAGTCAAGATCAATCATAAATAAAATTTTATATATCATTGTGTTGCTATTTGGTAGAAAATGGGTCAAGGCATTGATAGAAACAGCATGTTCACACTGATATGAAACTTCAGTTTTCAGATAGCATATTTGGCTTCAGTCTTTAGACAACATTCAAGCTTCTAAGATGCAGTTCTAGTACCATGATGCGGATTGCATTAGCTTCTTCCTGAATTTTGCTAAACTTGTCAAACACTACCGGAAACAGTAGATTTATCGAGTGCAAAAATATTTGCCGAGTGTATTTTATCGGATACTCGACAAACAAGCTCTTTACCGAGTGCTGCAAAAACACACTCGGCAAAATAATGGCACCTGACAAACAAACTCTTTGCCGAGTGCTGAAAAAAAACACTCAACAAACTAAGAAAAAAGACTTGGCAAAACAGAGACACTCGGCAAAAAACCGCAATGTGAACATCCTGCCAGTTAGTGTGTCGGCCGTTAGAAGTTTGCCGAGTGTCCGTTAGTGGCACTCGGCAAAAAAATAAGTTTGCCGAGTATTTTTTCCGGCACTCGACAAAGAAATAAGTTTGCCGAGTGTTTTTTTTGTACTCGGCAAATAAATAAGTTTTTTTTCACTTCTAGCCTTGAAACTTTTTCTACTCTCTACATACAACATGTGGTACTCCATGTTAAGATTTGATATATTTCTGGATCTGTTTACTATATTTAATTAATTTATTGTATTTTAAGAATTTTTTTTGGTATAAGTCAAATTTGAACCGCAAGTGATTCAAATAATAAAATAAAATTAGTAGAAAAACGATATTCATATTATTGAGTCCAGTGTGAGACCTTACCCGAAAAATAAAAAGAAATTTCAAACATCTTGTTCAGGAAACACGATGTGGCCGAATGGTTTTTAAATTAAAAAAAAAAACGAAGCTTGAAAATTATGAGATTTGTCAAGATCTCATGATATATCATACGTGGAGGCTGTGGTAAAAAATTAAGAATGTTTTGCACAATCTGTCATGTACTGTCACACCCGATTTTAAAGATAAAATAGGATGCAAAATCTTATATGCGTCCAGAGATCAGTCACACACAAAACCGATAAATTATGAATAGTATCATTACAAGTGTTTATTACATCACGAATAAGACAGAGTCTTCACATAAATATAGCAGAAGTATAAAAAAAAGATCTCTCACGGAAGCTCTACATCATAGGGACGTCAACTGGTTGACCACAAGTCTAGTAATCTTCAGGAAAATCGTTATTACCATAGCCATCTGTTACCCATCCGGGATTTTTATCCAAATAATGAAAATAAACAAGCGTATGTACATGTCGTACTCAACAAGTGTAACATGGGATTTATGAGGCTCAAAAGGCTTGACACAGGTTTAACAATGTTCAGCTTTTAGTTGTCACAATTTTAGCTTAAGAGTAGCAACAAGTTGTTTCAATTCCATTGCAAAACACATGAATAATGAATAGCATAAACAAGTTCTTAGTGTTCATCTATTCCATAAATGTTCCAAGGCCGCTCGTGACCGTGAGCACTTTCACTGTGAGTCGTGATACCCATATGTCCGGGTTAATTACTCCCAAAACACTTCCGAGGTGCGCAGGTAGGGGTCACTATGAAGCATTTCAAAGGTTCTTCTAACAAGTTAGGGCCATTAGATTCACTCGACAAACAGACATAGGAACCCATGTTGAATGGCACAATTCCATCGCGGCTATACACATAAGAGTAGAGGCTGTCCT